ATCCGAAATCAATCACATGTCATTGAACCAACTATTGAACAACTTGTGAAACTTGTTATTGAGGAACAATCAACCGTTTGAAAACACAATCACCATGGAGATCTTTAAGAGAATGCAATGTACTTGAGAAAGATAAGTTTCTTGCCTTATTGCATAGTGATGTTCTTATAAATCAAAGAGCGCAAGGCTCTTAACCTTGTGGTCGTGGGATCGAGTCCCACGGTGGGCAATTCATAATTGCTGGAGTTCTTCTACGGAAGTTGCTATCAACCTAGCGTTGGGGGCAGCTTACTACCCTACCTCCCCCTTACCCCATTACATATGGGAATAGGGTCAGCTAATAAATGTTCTTATAAATCAAGATGTTAATATTTTCCTTCTCCTATAAAAATTTCAAAAGGAATACACATGAACATACATAATTACTAATGACCAAAAATAAAGTATCAAGGAAACAATCGTTGTAGTATAAAACGAGACATTATATTTAATTACTAGACACCATATAAGATATCATTGAGGTATTGAAGGGAAATCAGAATATGAGCACCTCAACTTCATAATATCCAAATAAAAATCTCAGTTTTCTTAAAAATCCTGTGGTAGAATAAGACTACAATTTATAAACCAGCAATAAGAAATCAGATGGACAAATATAATAAAATACATAGATAAAATTGAGCATCTCAGTTTCTAATGATATCCTAATATAAATCTCTAAAAATCCCATGACTATAATTTATAAAACCAACAATAAGAAATAGAATTGGGCCTTGTAAGTTGAAGAATTTTCTATTTTTAAGAAATACAATTTTTTTTAATTGAGAGGAGCCTCGTAAGGTTTTCTTTATTTATTTTTCAAAAATATATATTTTTCAATATTAATTGATACTTATAAAATAATTGTCAGGGACCAAGGCTCCTCTTGATTCCCACAAAGGTCCGCCCATGCTTGAAAAATACATAGAATTGATGGATTCTTGTTCTGAAATTATATTACCTTTATAAGCAGGAAAAAAAGAGATTGTTCTTTCTTAGTAATCTCAACGTAATACAAGCATCACATGAATAAAAAGTTCAATAAAATCAATCTTTTACATGAGAATGAATTGAAGAATTGAATTCCAGGTGATAGGCATCTTTAAATCATAATTACTAAACAACTATCTTCAAATACTAATATGTCTGAGAGCGAATAATAAATCTATTAACAACAAAGTCGTTGTAGTATAGCGGTGAGTATTCCAGCTTATCACATTGGTAACTTGGGTTTGATCCCTGGTGACCACTTCTAATTTCAGTGTAAAGAAAAGGCAGTAAAAACTAAAACTGAATTAACAATGGCGTCACCCGGACATGAACCAAAGACCTTTAGTGTGTTAGACTGACGACATGAACCAAAGACCTTTAGTGTGTTAGACTGACGACATGAACCAAAGACCATCAGTGTGTTAGACTGAAGTGATAACAACTACACCACAACACCATGCAACAGTACAAAATATTGAATTGTTAAACATCAAATTAGAAGGAAGAAGCAAAGTATTCAATTGAGCACCTCAGCTTCTAATGATATCCTAATACAAATCTCCAAAAATCCTAGGACTAAAATTTATAAACCAACAATAATAAATACAATTGGACTTGCAAAATACATAGAATTTACGGATTCTTGTTCTGAAATTATATTACCTTCATAAGCAGGAAATAAAGATTGTGCTTTCTTAGTAATCTGAACATAATACAGAATTATTTGAATGATTAAATAACTTTTAAGACAATTTTATTGTATTAGAAGCCCATTACTGATCTTTTTCTTCAGGTTTGCTGCTTGTGGAATTGTTTGTAAAAAATAACATCACTTTTCCTGTCAAATATATGAGATTGTATGGAAAAAAGCACATATATCTCCTAATGAAGTGAGAGAAGCTCCTGCTTCTCTCTAGATTTTAAGACGTTTTTTTTACAGCTCTTTCTTTGATCTCTCTTTTTGTCTTATGATGGCAAGTAAGGTGATTAGTTCTGCTGGGAAGAATTGTTTTACGGTGATCATTTTCAACATTCCAGAGCTTTTTCATCATAAAGGTCTTTGGCTGTTATTCGATAAATATGGAGAGGTGGTCGATTCTTTCATCCCTAACAAAAGAAGCAAGGGAGGAAGTAGGTTTGGCTTTGTTCGTTTCACCAGTTTGGAGGACGCAAGGAAGGCTATCAGCTGTGTTGACAGATCTAGGATTCGTGGTAATGAAGTTAGAGTTTTCTTGGCCAGATTTCAACCTCGGGCAGCTTTTTGGAGAAAGAAGTTTTCTGGTTTAAAACCAGCCGTGAGCAAGAGTAAAAGGGAGGATGTTGGGCGTTTAGAGGTTCCCATTGTGGGTTCTGTTGACGAGGTCAAGCTTTTAACTTGCAGAGGCAGCTTGGTAGGGTGGTGCAGAAATTTTTTTAAGATGAAAGAGTTGGCTGCTATTATGCACAAGGAAGGCATATTAGGCCTGAAAATTTTGAGGTTAAGCGGGCTAGCAGTTCTAATCATTTTGAGGATGAAGAGAGTAGGGATTTCTCGCTGAACAATCAGATGGGGGCATTGAATAAATGTTTTGGCAAAGTAGAAGTGTGGTCGGAAAACTTTCATTGCAGCAGTCGCCGGGCGTGGCTTTCGTGCAAAGGGATCCCACCGTTTTTGTGGAATCCTTCCACCTTCAGAAGCATTGCAGACAAATGGGGAGAACTTATCTCCATTGAGGAAGGATCTGTGAATCCAGGCTCTTTTGATAGGGCTTTGTTTCAAATTATTACAAACTGCCAAACACGTGTGGAAGAATCCGTTGTTTTGAAAGCTGGGGATTTGTTTTTTACAGTTTTTATTTCTGAGTTTGAGCCTTGTTTCAGTCCTGTTTCGGTCTGGGCAGACTCGTTCCTGATGGATGAGGCAGTTGCCTCCCCGTTCTCTTTAGTGGGGGAGCTCGTCGGTGTCTCGCCAGTTATTTCTCCCGTGGTGGAGGTATGTCTTGAGGGAGCTAGTAGAAACGTGGACTGTTCAGCTGGTAGAAACGTGGACTGTTCGGTGGAGAAGATTTCTTAGCGATGTTCTGTGGACGAAGAAAGTCTATTATGTTGTATGGGGGAAAGATTTAATGGCTGCATCTTGTCAGGTGGGGAAGTAGTGGAGAGGAACATAGGGGAGGATTATATTATGGGTTTAAGGAATAATGTTGTTGGTATGGGGAAGATTCCTTCGGAATTCGAGGATGTGGTGGAGCACGAGATTGTGTTGGAACAAGCGGCGAGAGAGTCAGTTTTTGAAAGAAGCGAAAGTTGTAAGTCTGCACGTGATATAGAGGGAATAATGGATTTTTTTGATTCGTCCAACTTGGATGGTCGGTTAAAGGCAAAGGTGATGAAGAACGTGATTAACATTATCAAAAAGCGTGCTATTAGTAATTCCAAGGGTGTGGAGGCCCAACAGGATGGGGATGTGGTTGGCAATTTGGATGGAAGAGCTAAATCGGGGTTTGTAGATAAGAATTTGGAACAGATTCTTAGAGTATTGGAGGGGAATTTAACTCTTCCCAATCCTTTGAAGAGAGAGATTCGGGTCCCCAAATAAAGGCTAGATACTGCTGAACCAGGAAACAGAAGAAGGTTCAATGTGAGGGTGTTTTGTCTGTTCTTGGAGCCATAATATGTTTCCGGTTTTTCCAGCTTTGGAGAAAGGGTCTACAGCTGGGTTTTCTGCCCTCTTCGTGTGGAAGCTCCTGGATGTTGTGTTTTATTTTGGCTTCTTTGGTTTGAGTCAGCTATACTTTTTGGTCTTTATTTTAGGAGTTTTGTTTTCTGGTGCCCTTCGAGCCAAGAGTTAGGCTTTCAGTCGGGTCAGTCCTTTTGAGGCTGTTGCGGTTGATATGTTGGATTAGGTTGAGTTTTGTTGCTGCTGTGGGGGTGTTTTCGGTTGTTTTATAGTGTTATGTTTTATGTAGGGGGTCGATCTCTGGATGTATACTGGTTTTTTATGTTTAATGAAATCCTAAGGCACTCTTTTCCTCCTTCCGCTGATTAAGGAACTTATCTATAAGTCCCTCTAATCAAGGAGGTTTTTAATGAGGCCTTCAATTCCTATAAAAAAAAAGAAAGCCAATTTTGGATTGAAAAGGCAACATCTTTCGCAATCCTTAAACTTGTGATTTAACTAAATAAATGAGGCTACTACCATTGTTTGATCTAAATTCGTTTCTTCACTCCTTCCAAATCACATGTCAAAAAGTTCTGTTGAGGGAAGGACCAATTCTAGGGCCAAGCCATGGAACTGTTAGCTGTGCGAATGGAAACTAAGCTTTACAAGCAATGCATTCAGTCCTTAACAACCCCATCTACACACTATTGGCCAATCAAATTTGTTACTGTACTAAAAAAGATATAAAATGTTTGACCCGTATCTGTCCACACAATAGATCTCTTAATGTGCAGTCATCAGAGGCCAATCTTAGTTTAGGAGCAAAAACTATGGAACCAACCAAAATTAGGAAGACCCAACCAAAATGCTCCGTTTACTACTATTATAAATTATACTTAAATGTGCTTTAGCCACATGTTGACCTCAATCCATGCTTGTAAATAATGGCGAACAGTAAAAAAAAAAGAATTTTTTTTGGGTGCGTAAACAGTGATAAATATGTGCAATAAAATGGAAATCTTGCATAAGAGTTGCTTAACAGAAATCAGAAAGTGTATTTAAGAAAAGCCTAGTTGTTTGAATAAGATCACCAATTTGATTGATTTACATGAAGAGAAGACAATAATATGTAACAATTTTGATATCATATAGGTTAGCTAGATAATTCACTACTAGCTCAATAACAAATATACCTCGTCACTGTAGACCAGTTCTCTCTCTTTTTTAATCCATTTGTTCTTTTTTCAGGGGGCAACGAAGAGCTCAATTTTCTTATTTTCTAAATAAAAAACTAGCAAATATTCCGTGGCCATTGCTCAACAACAGCTAAAAGTGATAAAGAAAATAACTTAAGCTAGAAATTCCAATGAATTGTTAGATGATCACATTGACAAATAATTTGGCCAACGGAACATGACACTAGCTTTATAATAATTGCATCCGAAGCCTGAAACACTACACCAAGGATCACAAGGAATGCTTTTAAAGGGTACAGGAATACTATAGTGCCATAGAACAAAAGGAAGTAGACATAAAAAAAAACCTTTTTAAGTGTACAATGTCAAGGAGTTCAGAAACCGTGAGCAGACTCAAAAGGTCCTTCATGTCATCATCATGTAGCTTAGTTGTTTCTTCAAAGAGATACAGATAAACAGTTGCTGCAGTGTCACATAAAATTTTGCTATTAGTAAATAATTTGGTGTAGAAATAAGAAATATTTTTGCAAACTTAAATTACCAGATAGCTCCTTGGCAGCTTGTTGAGCATCACATATTTCAGGATACATAATTGTTTACAATCGAAACCAAGTTCCTGAATTAAAAATAGCATGACAATAAAATTTATTGTCCATGGAAACAAATAAGTTCTGGAGAATTTAAATTAGTAGATTAACCACATAGTTGTATCAAAAGGCTTCCCAGATATGCTGTCCACATTTTCATCCATACGAAGTCTAGACTCCTCATTATCATTGGACAGTTCAGGAAACTCAACCATGATGTTTGCTTTCCATGACTGCTAGGGTTTCCCGTTGATCTAGCCACATCAATTTGTTTAACACTCAGTTTGCGGAAATTGTCCACACAGATAGATCATGGCCTTTTTCTTCACTTGGACTGATTTCCGAGAAGCCACCAGTGACATTCTCTTCATAGTCGCAATGAATCTTAATAAGGTCACGACTCAGTAACTGTTCTGATTCACCTGAAGAAATTTGAAGTTCTGATTGAGAACAACCGAAGTTTACTCCAAGAAGCATCCGCTGCATCAACTTCTGCTTGGTTCTTCTAGAAAGACACCCATCTGACTCCATTAGTTCACATTGAAAGATGTAAAATCAAATAAGAACCAAGAAAGTAACGACTTTTACCCCCCAAAACAAAACAAATAGGAAGTAGAAATAACTAACTATGTTACTTGAACTCGGATTTGAGTTTCAAAAACTAGTATTGTCATTTTTTTCAAGTCCTCTGGTGTATTTGAATGATTATTGGAAGGTCATATCCTGATATCCTCTTGTCCATATTCAAATATATGTCATCATGTATGCCGGATGCGGATACATGCGCAAAAATGAAAGTATGAAGGCCATAACTCTATATCATTATCTGAATATATCAAATGGACTCTGATAACAAATTACGAAGGCTACATCACTATCCCCATATCAAAGAATAAATGTCCGAAAAAGGGTTGGAGGAGACTCAATAGCAATATATATAACAAATCAATAGTATTAAAAACAAGAGAAAAGAAAAATACCCATATGAGAATTAATAGTGTAAACTTCACCACGGACTTTGTTCCCACAAAAAGGGAAGGCTACCAGATCGGAGCTTCATATTTCAGCCTCGCCTTTGGAACATTCAGTTTCACCTACCCTTCCATTTCAATCAGACAATAGATTCAAATAACTATGGAGAAATGTAAAATCAACTTCAATTTTAACTTTCCAAAAGATAAACAAGGAAATCAACAAAAGCGAGGGGGGAGAGTTACCTGGATTGGCGAAGAGAGAATAGATTGAAGGCTGACAAAGAAACAACGGCGTTTGCCCATCAATCTGTACAAACTTTCTCTTCCAGTTAGTATTTGCAGCAGAGTGGTTTAAGATAAACTACACCTCTCATCATTCGCAAGCTCACCATTAATTTGAAACCCTACCTCGGTAGCTTCCTCGTAAGCTAGGCGGCGGGCACCTCCAGTGCCAATGTGCCATACTTGGAGGATAATTACGGATAAAATATACAAATAATCTTATTCTAATGGACTGGTAAGAACTTTATTTATAGGCTTAAATACACTAAAGTAATATTTGTAATGGGCCAGTTTCAGCTTCTGTCCATTCTGCCTAGAATTTGTATCACTCTCTGTTTCTTGCATTTGAAATTTATTCATTAAGATGCTGTGAAAACATGAAGATGCTAAACCTTGATTTTGTGATGTTTCCATAATTGGTGGCTTGTGATGTATAGTTTTATTTTGTAGAAAATTGTGGAATCTAATAGTCAGTACATTTACCATTGATACAGACCTTTTAGTTTAAGTGAATGACAATGATTTCAGGCATTGACGTTCTTCAAAATGTATATTATTAAAGATGTATTTTTTTTCTTTTTGTTCTTAGGTTGGGGTTGCTGAAATGAAAGTTGCAATCGAAAGGACAGGTGGCCTTGTTGTTCTATCCGAAAGTTTTGGTCATTCTGTATTCAAAGACTCTTTCAAGGTTGTCTTTGAGGGCGGGGAACAGTCTCTTGGCCTATGTTTTAAGTTACTTCTTGTACCACATCTAGGCTTCTTGTTCATGTTCAACTTTTTAAGTGTACTTTTCTCTTCTCATATCTATGGTGCTGATAATAACTATATAGTTATGTTCTTAATTGGTGAATTTACAAATTTATTCCATTTCAAGTTGTCATTGTCATGTTCTTTGAATTCTACACATGCCAACTTCTCATAGCTTATTTTTCACATAATTCTGCACTGGGTGTTGCTACTGTTAGAGGATATAAAGTTTTGACCTAGCTTGCTGACCTTGTTGTTCTGCTAGAAACAGAACTAATTTATCAAATTATTTAACTGGTGTTCTTTGGTGGTTTTGTTCTTTTGGCTTAATAGGTTTTCCTAATTGTTGCAAATGTGAATGCTTACATTGCTCAAAGCAGTGTAGCTGTGTAAGTATTATGATGCGGCAATGGGAACGTCCTTGCTGTTTTATGTTAAATTCCTGACTTTCAATTTAATGCTGATTGGCCTGAAAAAGCTCATGATTGTAGTTGATAAATAATTATTTGAAGCTATTAGAACCTAAAGAGGAGATGGTGCCTGGTAGATAGGATTGATTGGAGGAACATTCATGCATACAATGCAAATGATTCTCTGTCTTGGGTTTCGCAACCGACCCCAAAAGTATTGGGATTGAGGCATGTTGGTTTGGTTATGAATTTTAAACTCATTGTAAGCTTTTCGACCGTAGTAAAATTATTCTACAGCGGCGTTTTTAGAGTAAACGTCACTAATTTTAAATATATAACTCGTTTACATTCTAAACACCATAAAATGGTAATTTTAGCATTGTTTTTATACAAAACACCGCGATAGAGTAGTACTTTAACGGCATTTTTATACAAACGTTACAATAGATTTATCCATAGTGGCGTTTTTTAACAAATGCCTCGACATAGTAGTACTTTAGCGGTGTTTTTATATAAACGCCACAATAGGGTCATCTATAGTGGCGTTTTTTAACAAACGCCGCAAAGTAGTACTTTAGCATCGTTTATACAAATGCCATAATAGGGTTCATCTATACTGACATTTTCTCAACAAACGCCACAACAGAGTAGTACTTTAGCGGCGTTTTTACATACATCACTAGACTCGTATTTTAGTGACGTTTTTGTTTACAAACGCCGCTAAAGACTCATACTAGTGACATTTTTGTTTACAAACGCCGCATGTTTAGAGTTTTTAAGTGTCGCGCCCCTTTAACCATTTTTCATTTTTTTCAAAACACCAAGGAAATATATTCGACAGCAGATTATTTGCCGTTTAAGCTCGAGTTTTCAAATTTCAAAACCTTAATCTCCTCCCAAAAGTGAAAAAAAAATCTTAAAATCTTCCCCGTTTACTCCATGACTCTAAACAACAAACAGAAATCCCTCGAGACTGCCATTGACAATCGACGACCTGAACCGGAGCTTGACTCCGAAGAAGACTTGGAGGAGCTGGAATCTGATGTGAATAAAATGGTGAAGATTCTATAATACAGAGCCACTATCCCAGATCAAATCAAAGCCACTCTAGCTTCAGTTCCCTCTTTTAATAAGATCTTGCTTTCTGTAACACGTTCTAGTAATTATAATTGCTCATGGAAATTTATCCTTTTTTATATATCAGCAATGATAGTCACCATTTTGATGTATGGTTTCTCTCAGTAACTACAACGTAAAAAATGTGAAAACTAAATAATTTGTTGCTATTATGTTGTAACTTGTAAGCAGTGAGACATTAGAATCAGGGAAATGCATTGTCTCCCCTTGCTATTTTTGGTTTCTGCTAATCTACTTTAATTTGAAGGCAGATGAGTGACATCGTCTTCTCCAATAAGCAAGAATCCCCCAGGCCTTGTTTTATTTGCTTTATAAGAACGTGGAGTGATTTTGTTAAGGGAACTACAGTCTCCCAAGTTTAAAGATCTTTAATTTTTAACTTTTGAACACCGACCTGTTTGGATTTTTTTATATATTTTAAATAGATTTTGCTTTCATTTAATACCTTTAAGTAATTGTAAATGCTGCCATGGAAATCTATCCTTGTTACTTTATTATCAATAATAGTCACCAATTTAATACCTTTAAGCAATAGGGCATGTATATTATGTTGTAGTCTTCAGCTTATTCCTTTGGTTTGTATTTTGCTATTCGTCGTTTTTTCTCTCACTTTCTACTGGCATTTTAGGGTCTAAGTTTAGTAGCCTTTTAACTATTCTTTTTCTTTTCTTTTTCGGATTCAGGTACAAGAAGCTGCTTTCTAGAGTGGACTTGACCAAAGATTTTTTCTACAGCTATACATATCCTATAATGCAAAGTTCGCAAAAGAATGTTTTATCCATGGGCGAAGAAAGGATGCCATATGATAACATATTTGTCTGGAATGCCTATTTAACCCAAGCCATACGTTCAAGATGTAGAAACACCATTTGGACAATAACTTTAGTTCATGGGCATTTTAAACAGGTAATTAAGATGTAGTATCATCACGTGTCAACAAATACTGCCTCTACTGCTTTCGTTTTTAATTTTATGTGTAGCATGATACTTGTATTAAAGGCTTTTATCTTCTTCATTCATGATGGATCATATAGTCTGCAGGTCATACTTTTGTTGAAATAACTTTTGAAGGACTAGTGTTGTTGTGGATTTCATCCATACCAGTAAGCAGTGGGTCATTTTTAATTCCATTGATAAGTTGAATATGCAAAAATGCAGGTACAAAGCTGTTGGCACTACATTGGACTCTGGTGACCTAGCATACTTGTCCAGTGAAGCACGAAATATCTTTCATACAACTGAGAAGAAATTTGGGGTTCCTGATTTTGGAAAAACTAGCATTACTGCTAGTAATGATTTGAATGAAGAAACTTTAGATGGACTTGAAAGGCAGGTTTCGTAATGTAAACTAAATTATTGTTTATTATAGTTAACAATGTTGAACTACATTATATTTTACGTTAATGTAAACTTTGATTTATTATTATGGATTTCAAGTTTGTTGTTATGGATGTTAAGTTTATTGGATAATGTTACAAGTTAAATTTGGGTAACAAAAGAGTAGAAAATAGCATTTTAAAAATTAATTTTATTTCACGGCGTTTGTATAAAAAAATGACACTAAATACCTAATCAATACCGGCGTTTTTGAAAAACGCCACTAAAGTTAAAGATATTGTGCGACGTTTATACAGAAAACACAACTATATACGTAGTCAATAGCGTTTTACATTAACAAACGCCACTATATGACATTACATTTTGCGGCGTTTTTGGGAACAAATGCCACTATATGTCAGAACATTTAGCAGCGTTTTTGGGACAAAACGCCACAAAAGAAAAGATAAATAGCGACGTTTGGAAAAAACACCGCTAAATGTCATACCTTTAGCAGCGTTTGTAAAAAAGCCGCTATATATCATTACCTTTAGCGGTGTTTGTAAAAAACACCGCTAAAAAACATAACCTTTAGGGTTGTTTGTGAACAACAAATACCGCTACATTTTGCGGCGTTTGTTTCAACGGCGCTTTTTGCGGCGTTTGTTTTTGCACCACAAAAGTTTTTAGTAGCGCTTTAAAACGCCGCTATATGACAGAAAAAACTCCACTAAAATCCTGTTTTGCTATAATGTTTGTTTTTTAGTGGCATGCTTGAGATCAATTGTTCGAAAGACATCAAGGTTCAGATGATCATTGGACCTTGCTCATCTTTGCAGAAGGTTGGGCCATTTAACCGTCTAGCAATTCCACTTACTCATTTGTAAATTGAATCTACTTATATTTATGGATATTTAAGCTGGTTAAGATGGTTGTTGCAGAAAGGAACTAATGTCTCTGACACGGTCATTGGGGAGGGTAACACATCCTTACATGGAAAATGTGTGGCCTTGACAAGAGTACTTGCTTGATAGTTATATTTGATCTTTTATCAACCGATGAATCCAAATGTTCCTGGAACTGTGAATCCACAACTGTATTTGCAGTTTCTTATGCATAAACTCCTCAAAAGGCTGTGTTTTATTCACATTAACATTGATATGCTTGATTTATTTCTTTAATTTGTTCCTTCTGTAATTTGGTGAGCCTTTTTAAGGTGTTCACCTAGGTGTCTCATCAGTGCTAGACAATGGAAGCAACTTAGGACCGTTTAGACAAGACACATCTGATCAAACATGCACTTGGTTTGTCTAGGCATACGTTTTATAGGGTGGTAGGTGCAAATAAAAGTAAAACAGCTTTCATGATTGAAGTTCTCTCTATTTTTAATTTTTTTCATTAACTTCACCGTTTATTGTTAAAAAAAGGGGTCAATTTTGAACTTTCTACATCCCAATGTTTTAGTATTCAACAACAAACATAGGATTTATATATATATATATAAAAGGGAAATCATGCTTATTACCAAATAAAGGGAAACGTTGCATGTTTTG